TATAATCATGATAAGATTAGATCAAATATCTCTAATAATGATGTAAAAAAAACAAATAAATTACCTTTTAGTATATTTTTGGTATATTGACCTATAAATATGTAATCATTTCTTTTAGTTGGTTCAAAGATGTGAAACCTGTGATTTTTGAAGAGAAAAACATTAATCAAATTTGCAATTGTCTTTTGAAAGTTTAATTTATGATAACTCCCAAAAATATAATCTTTTGACACGCTTTAAATACACAAAGCGCAATCAAAAACGTCTCTCTTTCGTTATGTGGCTACTGATCAGTGGTTGACCAGTGAAGGTATTGATCTTTGTAAGTTTTACTTTTTGATATGTCAAGTTGACTCTCTCTTTTTTTTATATTTTCATTTCTTTTTACATTTAAAGGTCAACGCCAAACTCAAGATCAATACGACTCTTCTAGATATCGTGCCAAGGACACGACAAGAGCCGCCCCACGCTTACACTCTAGTTTTGTCTTTTCCTTTGTTCTTCGTTTTTTTTTGAAATTTAAAAAAAAAAAAATTATTATACTAATAGTAAATGAATGCAATTCAAAGTATTAAGAAAATAATAAATATATTCTATCTTTATCTAAAAGAATATACAACATATCAAAAAGAGATTTAAAAGATCCCAATGATTTACTTCAAATTGTTTAGTCGTTATTGAATTAGCTTATTAATAAAAGGGTTTACTTTGGAGTCTAAAACCGTAAATACTGTGTATGTGTGTTTTTGTTCTTTTTAAACATCTTTAATGGGAAAATTCTTAAAAAATATTCAAACTTAATTCAATTTCCTGAAAAAATACCCAAACTTTTTTGGTTATCCGATAAATACACTAACTATTTAAAAAAAAATTTTATATACTCGAACTTTTAAAATGAGTTGGTTTTATTACCTCAACATTAACGGTGTCAATCCAGCTAATGGAAGTTACTGTTTGCTACAATACATTCTTCTTTCCCAAATCGATTTTGGGATTTAAGAATCCTAAAACCCTCCCAAATTGATTTTAGATTTCAATTTAAATTCTCTTAAATTACCTTCTTCCGTTAGTCGGATTCGTAACATGAGAAACAAATTCTTGATTTTGCTCATTTTCATGGAAACCCATCTCCATATTTACTTGAAAAGTTTATATTTTTTTGTTTGTTCCTGCTTCGAATCAACCACCCAATTCGTGATAGATCCAGAATTGAAAATTCGTCGAGAGTATCGAAAGATTTAAAGAAAAAAAAAGTAATTTCAAGAAATGCCTTGAAGTTTGTTAAATCAGATTTTAGGGGGTAGTTGCAGAGAGAGAAGAAATGGGTTGTGAAACCAAAAATTTAAAGGAATTTAATTTGAAATCCAAAATCAATTTGGGAGTTTTAGGGTTTTTAAATCCCAAAATCGATTTGGAGAAGAAGAAGGTACTGTAGCAAACAGTAACTTTCGTTAGTCGGATTGACACCGTTAATGTCGAGGTAGTAAAACCAACTCATTTTAAAAGTTCGAGTATATAAAGAACAATCTTAATTAGTTGGTGTATTTATCGGGT